TAATAGAGGGGTGCTTGGCTGGCTTATGCAGTAGAGCATGCAACTCTTGATCTCAGGGTTGTAAGTTCAAGCCCCACGTTGGGTGTAGAGATTCCTTAAAAAAATAAAATCTTAAAAAAAAAAAAACTAGTAGAAAAATGGGCAAAAGATAGGAATAAGAATTGATAAAGAACTATAAACAGCCAATTAACTTATGAAATGTTCATCCTCAGAGGTAGTACAAAAAACACACACTTAACCAGCATTATCATTATTCCGCATGAGATGGCAAAAATGGAAAATATTGCTAATATCTAACGCTGTTGGGCACTGAACACTCTTGGTCACTCTGACAAAGGAACCATTTTAAGTAATCAGTCAATTGCACTTTCACACCTTACTTTTTTTGTTTCATTGACTGCATTTCCAAGCAAATAATATTTTACCACCAGCTGCAGAAGATAACACCTGAATGAGGTGTGAAACAACACGAATCAGAAGAGCACTCACAGTGCTGGGTGACAGGAGCAATGCTCCTTCTTCCCCTTTCCAAATATTCTATAATGTAATCTTCACAATTCAGGGGGAAAACTAGCAGGGAAAAAAAATAACATTCTCATATTTTTCCTGAGCATGCTGCTTTAGAACCTCATATGCAGCCCGTATGCAACCTACACTTCTGCCAAATGAATCTTCTACCTAAGTACTCTGCGGCAGCATGAATTTACTAAGAACAAAATTCTCACGTCAAAATAAAGTCTTTGTTTTATTTTCTTCTTTACTTACAAGTCGAGAAAGAGGAAGTATCTGGGGAAGCTTTAGGAGGGGATTTTGATCCACATAAAGAAACACTGTCCAGAAAGGGAACCTCAAGTTCACCTGGTCGCCCTTATACAGAAGAGGAATCCCTAAGCGAAGAGAAGCAAGACCTCAGAAAACGCACAGGTTAGAAACGTGTAGCAGTTGCCACTGATTTTGTTATAGGTCATTCCAAAGGGGTTCTTTTTTTTTTTTTTAAGATTTTATTTATTTATTAGAGAGAGCGTGTGCAGACACACAAGGTGGAGAGGAGCAGAGAGAGAAGCAGGTTCCCCGCTGAGCAGGGAGTCCGACTCGAGGCTCCATCCCAGGACCCTGAGATCGTGGCCTGAGTGGAAGACAGATGCTTAACCGACTGAGCCACCCAGGCGCCCCTGGTCATTCCAAAGGGGTTTTTACCCACTTTTGTCCAGCCCCTTCTCTGCGGTCACAGGCTTGCAGAAGAGGGAGCCTTCTGGTGCAGTGTAACCACTAGGTGGCATGTGCACTGCTGGGCTAGTTCTGGTAAAATGCACCCCCCCCCCCCCCCCCGCATCCGGCTATCCTGTTTCCCTGTCTATGGACGGGGTCCTTTTCACACCTGCTAAATCATAATTCTCCAAAATTTATAAACTTAGCCAATTTTAAGAACCATTTCATTTTTCTTAGAAAGGATAGAATTTTGGTTCATGGGTTGGGAGGGACTTACACTTTAAATATTTTCTGGAATCAGTCCATTCCTAATTGTTACTGTAAAACTCATGCAGCCTCTAGGGGCTCCTCAGGGTGCCCAGTGCCAAATAAGCTATGAGTTACGCAGCTGAAGGACTAGTGTATAGAGTGTAGAGTGCATGGAAATGCTTCCTGAGACCCAAGAAAAAAATGAAAACCTCCGGAACAAATCATGCTTGAACACTTTGGTGTGCTTCCCACAAACTGTGTTTTAAATAAGGCTTGCAGGTGATTCTGAGGCAAAAGTGTTGAAACACCGTTTTACAAGATGCATAATTAAAAGACAGTTTCCCTTCTGACCCAGGCATCATCCTGGTGGCCATTTGTCTAGCTTCAGCAAGCCTGCAGGGTGATGATAAAAAGCATTCCCAGTGTCTGGTTCTATATTTTCCTGTGTAGAGAATGCCACCCAGGCTGGGCCTCAGAAAGAGCACACAATTAGCTGCAGCCGTTGTTCGAGATTGTTGTTGTTATAAAGCCCAGCACGTAACAGGTGTTCAGGGTATATTTGTTGTCAGCAATAAAATAAAACACTGTAGATACATAATGCTATATACATGGAACCTCATATACATAATATTGAATAAATGAAGCCAGACACAGAAGTTTACATACTCTGATTTCGTTAGATGAATACCAAGCAAGAGCAGGACTAAAAAGGACAGAAGTCAGAAAAGTGGTTGCCCTTGAAGGGGGACGACTGACTGACAGGAAGAAGTATTGATGGATAGCGGAATGAAGGGTCGCCTGGGATGCTGGAACAGGACCTGGGTGATGGCTACATGGGTGCACAGCACAAAGCGCGCTGGGGCCACTCTCACTGCTTGGGGTGCGAATTGCCTCCAGGACTGCTCGCCGCCCAAGTCAAAAAGGCATCGGGTGCCGTACTTAAAACAAACAAAGAAAAGAAAAACCCAGCTGGAAAGGAAGACAGGAAAACAAATATGAAAATGAAAACAAGATAAAGAAGGAGAAAAGGAAAAGTGTAGAAATACAAGAAATACAAAGGACCATAATTTATATAATTGGAGTCTTTGAAGAAGAAAACAGAGCAATGGAACAGAACTGACATTTAAAACTATAATTCAGAAAACATTTTCAGAAATAACAAAGACCTGAATCTACATATCGAACAGAACTGCCAACTACCTGAGAAAATTAACCTGAAATGATGAACTCTGGGACATATCTCGGCAAAACTATCAGATTGGAAAGATAAAGAAAAACGTTCTGAAGGCCTCCAGACACAAAAGGACATAACCTGCGAGTGCAAAAGAATGAGGTGAGCATCAAACTTCTCAAAAGCAGCATATAAAGCAAAGCAAACATGGAGTGGCATTTTCTAGAAACTGAAAAAAAAAGTGTGATCCATGGCAGCCAAACTGTTTTTTCAAGTATCACGACAAACATTTTTCGGGAATTTAGGACATTTTTTGAGGAATCTTTCAGAGGTTAAGCTTCATCCAACCAACAGATGACTTGGAAAATTTTAGCAAACGGCTGATGGTGGGGTGCCTGACTGGCTCAGTTGGTAGAACATGTGTGTGACTCTTGATCTCTGGGTCCTGAGTTTAAGCCCCACGTTGGGTTGCAGAGATTACGTACGTACATACATACGTACGTACAGACATACAAAAAACACAAAGGGCTGATGGTATTTTAGTACAGATCATTACAGATCAAAGACTAAAACAAAGTAGGAAATGAGGGTAGAAGACCACAGTACAAGGGTAAGACATTGTGACAAAGTAGAAATAATGCAACCAAAAAGATGGGACAAGGAAGAAAAAAGGAACGGGAAAGTAGAATTGATTGTCTCAGAGGCAACAGGTTGGGGTTAAAAGAGGTTAAAACTGATGATCTTGTGGATATATGTTAGAAAAAGTTCTTAAAAATGTATCCTATATTAGGTCATGAGAAAAACTTCAGTAAGCTCTATCAGGTGAACATTTTATGGACAACACTCTCTGATCACAATACAATAAAACTAGAAAATATTAACTTAAAAAATTTTAAGGATCCTTAAATTTTTAAATTTATAAAATTTTAAAATTGTATATTAAACAAATTTCAGTTTAAGAGGAAATGAAACAAGAAAAAATATTATTTTGTAACTGTGGTGATGGATATCGTGGTGATCATTTATGTGAACTAAATTTATGTGGTGAGATATATATATATATAATCATCATGTTGTATGCCAATTATATATCAATTTTTTAAAAAGAGGAAATGGAAACTTTAATTATAGAATTTCTAAAACAGAATGACTAATGGAAACACTACATATCAGAATCTATGGGATACATTACAACAATGATCAAAGTACACAGTACAAAAAAACACTTTTATCAGTTAAAAACAAAAGAATGAAAATAAAATAATTAAATTCTTAGCTCAAAAAACTAGGAGGGAAAAATAGGAAAAGAACGACAAAGTGAACCAAAAGAAAGCCCAGGGTAGGAAATAATAAAGGAAGAGTAGAAAATTAAAGAGTCAAGGAATAGAAAAGCAGAAAATCTAATTAATAAATCAAAATCCCGGTTTCCTGAATAATTTAACAAAATAGACAAACCATTCTCTGACTTGATCAAGAAATAAGGGAGAAAGCACAGATGTACAAAATAAAAAACAATGAGAGATATACCATGGAAACAAAAGAAATTTTAAAGTCATAAGAGATTAATTTGCAAAGCTCAATGCAAATAAATTTTGGAAACCTAGATAAAATGTATATTTTCCTTAGGAAAAATACAGAGACATAAGAATTGGTGAAGAAAAAGTAAAAATAACTATATCGCAGATGACATGATAGTATACCTGGTAAGCCCTTGAGAATCAAGAATAAAATTAACTCAAATAGTAGAAGAATTCTGAAAGATAACAAGATATAAAACTAACACACACAAATCAAGAGCTTTCATATGCATTAATAATAACCACTTAGAGGATATAATAGCAAAGAAAACCCCACTGACAGTAGCAAAACATTAAGTATGTGGAAGTAAATTTACAAGAAATGTAAAAAACTTATATGAGCAAAACTTTGCAATGTTTCTGAAAGATACAAAAATAGGCTCAATCGAATGATAAAACATTTTCTATGTTTAGGTAGGACAACACAGTATAAAGTTATAAATCCTTCTTAAGTTAATTTATAAGGTTAATATAATCCCAATAAAAATACCAACAGCTGATAATAAAATTCGTATAGAAAAACAAACATGAAAGAATCGCCAAAAAACCGTGAAAAAGAAGTACAGTGAGGACCTAACCCTACCAAACATTAAAACATGCAATAAAGCCTCTATAATTAAAGCAATTGGTACTGACGTATAAATAGACTGACAGTGAAATTGAATAGAAATCCCAGAAATAAAAACCCTAGTAGATAAGGAAATTTGTATACAAAAGTGACATCTGAAATCACTGGGCTAAATAAAAGATGCAAAAGAGTAGCCTTTTGGAAAAAGATAAAATTATATCCATACCTTACTCCATGCACAAGAATAAACTCCAAACTAATCTAAATGGAAAAGAAAGAAAAAGAAAAAGAAAAAAAAACCCACATAAGTTACTAGAAGAAAATATGGATAAATTCTTTTTTTAATATGAGTGCAAGTTTCCCCTATTTCTGAGAGTAGATTGTTCCTAGGAAAACTTTTGTAAGCCAAAATAGCATAAATCAAAGAAACACTTACCATGATATGGAACAAATTTTGAGCATGCCCAGACCCAAAAAATAAGGCCCCCTAGGCTTTTCTGATACCTTAAGGCACATGTCGCTAACGGATGCACAAAATAGATGGAGGTGGAGCAGAGCTGCTCACAGACACAGAGCTCTTGCAGTTTGATGCTGAGATCCCGAGCTGTGCCCAGGGAGGAAGTGTGCTGGGGCCACTCTCACTGCTTCGGGTGCAAACTGCCTCCAGGACTGCTTGCTGCAAACCAACACTAAACAGTGCTTTTGCATTTCACCTTTCTTCAAAGAAGCAAAAATCCTCTTTACATCTCTTTCACTTAGCAAAAACAGGTACTCATGTAGGGCTGTTGTTAAAGTGAAGTGGCATCGTGCAAACTTTTGAAAAATAGGGAAAAGGGCGCCTGGGTGGCTCAGTTGGTTAAGCGACTGCCTTCGGCTCAGGTCATGATCCTGGAGTCCCGGGATCGAGTCCCACATCGGGCTCCCTGCTCGGCGGGGAGTCTGCTTCTCCCTCTGACCGTCTTCCCTCTCGTGCTCTCTATCTCTCATTCTCTCTCTCAAATAAATGAATAAAATCTTTAAAAAAAATGAAAAATAGGGAAAAGCTTTCAAACCCAAGATTGATAGATTGATAAATTTGACTACATAAAAATAATTTATGAAGGGCAAAAGCAATAACACAAAAAAGTAAAAAGGTAACTGATAAACTAGGAGAAATATTTGCAACATACTGATAAATGGGTTGTTATCACCAGTTTATTCTTAAACTCTGAAACTGAAGAATGAAAGACCAAAAACTCAAGAGAAAGAATGAAAGGAAAAGATATGAACAGACAATTCACACAAAAGTATAAAAATGGTCTTTAAAATATGTAAAGATGTTCCATCTCAAGAGAAATGAGAATTGAAACTACACTGATATACCACTTCTCACTTACCAGATTGGCAAAAATTGGGAAAAAAAAAAAAAAAACCATGACAGTACATTTTGTTGGTAAGGCTGTGGGGAAACAGGTACTATCCTAGACTGCTGGTAGAAATCAAAATCAGGGGGCACCCGGGTGGCTCAGTCGGTTAAGCATCTGCCTTCAGCTCAGGTCATGATCCCAGGGTCCTGGGATTGAGCCCCACATCGGGCTCCCTGTTCGGCAGGGAGTCTACTTCTCTCTGCCCTTCTACCCACCCTCCTGCCCCCCTGGTTCGTGCTCTCTCTCTCTCTCTCAAATAAATAAATAAAATCTTTAAAAAAAAAAAAAGAAATAAAAATCAGTATAACCTTTTAGAAAGGAATTTGGCAATATCTGACAAAGTAAATATGTGTTTACCTTTTGGCCCAACAATGCCACTCTGGGAGTCTACCCTGAATATACACCTCCACCAGGATGAAACTACATGTGGACAAAGTTGTCCATTGCCGTACCATCTGTAATTGCAAGATCCTGGAACAGTCTAAACTCCCCCATACATAAGGGAGTGTTTGAGTAGACCACGATGCATCCACAAAATGAAGTGCTTCACCACTGTAAATAAAATGAGGAAGATCTCAATGAACTGATATGAAGTGATTTCCAAGATACATCGTTAAATGAAAAAAGCGAAGAGCAAAAGAGCATTTATTGAGAGACACTTCCAGAATGGTGGCATGAGGCGCTCTCAGGACCTATCTGCCAGCGAAGCCATCATAACTGGTGGAATTTAGGAAAAGAGAAAAAAAGCATTTAAGCTCTCTGAAAATTGTCCTCAGGGCAGACAGCAAATTAACATTTATTCACGAATATCTGCTAAATGTTGATAAGATCAGCTAGAGTCTGTGACACTTGAGCCACCACACACTCTTTACCCCACTAGCTCAGAGCATGGAAGCTCCACTCCAGGTGGGGGCAGCTCCTCTCTCCTCCCCACCACCCTCCCCCCCAGCTCCCAGGCAAAGACTACAGTGTCTCCCCAGGAAGGGCAGGCCATCAGCCTTTCTTATCTTTCCCAGCTCCGCGTTGCAAAGCAGAATTCCAGGCGAGTGTGGACAAGAGCTTGGGGCTCCCCTTTTGCATTGAGCCTCTACTCACATGGTGGAGGTGCTACCTCAGGGCAGCAAGCCAAGAATACCAAGACCCTGATCCCAGCTGTTAGTAGGGCGCTGGTTCTACAGGGACCCACGGGACCAGAGGGTACTTCCTCTGCCCAGTGCCCTGCAGGAGAACAGAGCCCTCACTCCGAGGAAGCAAGGTGCTGTCCTCACTGCTAGCTCTGCAGCTAGGTATACTTTATAACAATTTTTAAAAAGTAATGCTTTCATTTACAGGTGGATTTAGGATTAGAAGAATCTAAATTACTCAACATCTCAAATAAAATAATGGATCATAATGAGATAGGTGCTTTATAGAACTAACTCCGTAATGTCATGGATCAAATAATCCATTCTTAACATTAACTTTTATATTGGTATTTTAAGGTTCTTTCTATTAACTATTCTTCTTGGGTGAAAAACAACTGGAAACATCCCAAATATCCATTAACTCTTCATTACAAAAAAGAATGAACTTCTGGTACGTGCAAAAAATGGGAAGTGTGTGTTGAAGCCACACAAAAAAAGGGTGCACAAGGGGTGATTCCATCTGTATGAGGTTCAGCAAAAGGCAAAACTAACTTATGTGAAAAAAAATGTTAGTGGTTCTCTATATGGAACTGTTGAATTGCTATATTGTACACCTGAATTGAATACAACATTGTATGTTAACTACACTGGAAATAAAATTTAAAGAAATAAAATTGTTCTCTAAGGATGAAAATTCATGTGGGAAGTGAAAGGGGGCACGGTGGAACTTTCTGGATGGATGGAAATGTTTTATAAATTGATTGTAGTGGTGGTTATGCTGATATATGTATTTGCCAAAACTCATCAAAGTGTACACTTAATATAGGTTCATTTTATTTTATTCAAATTATATATCAAAGTGGCCTAAAACAAAATAGAAGGCAAAAAAAAAAAAAGTCTGGTGTTTTCCCTATCTGCTCATATCTAAGACAGGAGCAATAAGAAATTGATTGGAGGGGCGCCTGGGTGGCTCAGTCGTTAAGCATCTGTCTTCTGCTCTGGTCATGATCCCAGGGTCCTGGGATCGAGCCCCGCATTGGACTCCCTGCTCAGCGGGAAGCTTGCTTCTCCCTCTCCCACTCCCCCTGCTTGTGTTCCCTCTCTCGCTGTCTCTCTCTCTGTCAAAAAAATAAATAAAATCTTTAAAAAAAAAAAAAGAAATTGATTGGAATTGATTGGAAGTCCTATAAGTGAGGAGTCTTTTCAATAAGGGGTTTCTTTGGAGGGCAATCTGGGTGGGCTGTTTCGTGGGAAAGTCTTAATGTCAGTATTTTTAGGTCTTCCCTAAAAAAGAGGCAGTAAGGCAACTGAGGCCAGACTACTTAGGCTCAAGTACAAGGTCTACCATTCATTTGCTAAATCCCTAACTTCTCTGGGCCTGTTTCTGTATCTGTAAAATGGGCATGATACTAATGCCTACCTCGGAGTTAAGGTGAGGATTAAATGAGTTAATGTATATAAAACAGTATCTGGCACATAGTAAGCACTAAATAAACATTACCTGTCATTGTTATCATTATTATTCAGGCAAGACACTTCCAATCTTCTGCCTTGAAAACAGAATCCTGGCTGTCACTTCATAGGAGGGAAGAAGAAAGAGAAATAGCTGGGTTAGAGAAAAAGGTTCATCCATTCTCTTTGCCCTTTTCCTGGGAGAGGGGGAGGTTATGGCCCTATTTTCCCCTTATTGTCTTTGTTGGGATTGGGGGAGGAACAGAAGTTATATATGGGTTCATCCCACAAGCTTCCAGGAAGGATTTGTCAAGCAAAAGAGCAGTGGAAAGCCTTGTTACTAAGGAGCTGAAGAGATCTGATGACATAAAAATTTAAATCATATATGTTAAAGGCATCATAAACAAAATCATAACATCATAAAAAAATCAAAGATAAACAACCTAGTGTGAAAAGAACTTGCAACAAATGTAGTGTGGTAACAAAGACCTACTCCGATAAGAACTCAGAGCTTCCCGAGCAAGGGAGTCACCACCTGCACAGCAAGGGAGTCACCACCTGCACATGCTTCGCTTCAGGTAGACTGAAAGCCTGCAGGGGAGTGAGAAAGCCTTGCGGCCACATGGGGGAGGCGGGGATTTCAGATGTGCTTTGACTGGAGATTTGTGGCACAGAGCATGTGGATGCAGGCTAACTAGACACAGGGCATCTTATGTGATTAGTTTGGGGGGCATATTTGGTTTTCTCTGGCTGATCCTGAGTTGGAAATTGGGGAGAGGAAGCAAAAAATGGGGAAAGTGACAGTCATTGACCAAGTCGTGATGTTGTGGGCGGGTTACTACAGAGGCTGTGGTTTGGTGGCCTTGACTGACTGCTGCAAAGGTTGTGGGACAGAATTCTATGGTCACATGTGGTCTGACTGTTGCCCGTATTTATACTCAGTCTCTCAGTAAGTTAAGGTGCATAATATGTGAAGCTTATACAAAAGGGATCAGAAAAACCTAGATGTCTCCAATAGATTAAATGTTTCCATATTCAGAATTAGAAGTAGCCAATTCAGTACATTCAAATCACAGTTAAGTTTGGTTTATGCATATCCGATTGCAAATGCCAAAGGAAAAAGAGAGAAAGGTGATTCAACTCTATTATTCCCCCCCGCAATGCGTATGAGTCACAGGCAATGCAGACTTGGCATGGCTTTGTTTTCAAGAAACAAACTGTAGGGGCGCCTGGGTGGCTCAGTTGGTTAAGCGACTGCCTTCAGCTCAGGTCATGATCCCGGAGTCCCAGGATCGAGTCCCACATCAGGCTCCCGGCTCAGTGGGGAGCCTGCTTCTCCCTCTGACTCTCTCCCCTCTCATGCTGTTTCTCTCTCGCTCGCTCTCTAATAAATGGATAAAATCTCTAAAAAAAAAAATTAAAAATAAAAAAAAAAAGAACTACATCAAACTTAAAACTTCTGGGCATCAAAGGATACAACCAATAGAGTTGAAAAGGCAACCTACAGATTAGGAGAAAATATTTGCAAATCATATATCTGGTACAGTGTTAATATCCAGCATA